ATATTATTATTATATTAATATTACAGGACTAATAGAATCAAATAGGTTTTTTGTCCCAAGACCACTGGTTGTGTTGCTTATCATCTCAGTTAAACATGAATGACAAAGAAAAATAGTAGTACTAAAAATAATAGGCTTAAAAATCCACAAATCAAAAGTATGGGATTGGGAAACAGTTCAAGTTTTTATACTTATAGTGATATCAGAAATGTTATGACTGTTTTAGACATGAAGGCATACAGGAGTACCAGCATGGAAGATAAGCGATGTACTGCTGTTGATTAAAAAAATCAAAATCAGTTTAAATGTATGCTATATTTAGTATTTATGGTTTTACATGGTTAGTTTTTTATCTGAACTAACTTGTTAAAACACCAAAGTCACCATACTTAAACTGATTTTAGGTGTGCCTTTAACCCTTTAAATACATGCACAAACCTCCTAATTGCACCTATACTGATGGCAACTTTAGTCATTTACCCATTTATAATGTTTTTCTCCTGCAAACTAACTTAACCTGCCTGCAAACTTACTCGTAAATCCCATTATGTTTACTAGATTATTGGGTCGCAGGCTGGTTCTACCTTTAACCTCCATCTGACCAGGTGGGGTTTTTAATCTTCTTATTGTCTGTTTTCCAGGGTTGGGTGGATGAAGGCTATTTCAGCAGCGGCGTTTACTGCAGGAGGAAGGACCAGGAGGGATCTCAGTTCTACAACTCCAAGAGACTTGACTTTGAACTCTATACATGATTTTATGTCCAGCATCAAATAAATCACAGCTGTCATGATCACTGTCATCTTTCACGTCTTGTCCTCCGACATTAAATCTTCCCATCCGGGGCCTCGGTGTCAAAATCATCATTTTAACAGGGGCTTTGTTTTCTGTACATTGTTTTTAAATAAATAATTCATGTATACGGTGTTGCCATCAGCCATTATTTGTTTTTTTTTTCACATTGTCACATTGTGGAGGACTGATTTAATTCTGACCATTTAATGACGTTTACATGTCCATTTCACTTTACATTCATTTGCAAAGCAGTGTTTAATATAATGATAAGTTACTGTGACTTCTCACAGTTATAATAGTTAGTTGTTACCGTATTTTACACGTGTCTATTATAGTTAAAGGTACAACTGTATTAGGTCGTTAATTCAGGCAGCTTATCTACAAACCCTGATGTTAAAAAGCACTTGCCATGAAGAAATTAATATTTTAGGTGGAGGGGAATATGGAGATGTTAGGATAAGTTTGGCTTTACACAGCTTCAGATATTCACAGTTAGATATCTTTGGTAGTTATTACATTAAATCTACTTGGCATATAGTAAATAATACATAATGTTACCTCCCAGGACTTTTAAGAAGTATGTTGTTATAAAATAGGGAGCCATTTCAAATTATTGATATTCTTGCAAATCAGAGATCAACAAGTCTGGAAGCGTTTAGTGTCAACAAGTGACAAAAATGTAATTTAGCTCATTGGCAGCTATTCATTTAAAACATTTGTTTAACCACAAACACTTTAAAGTTCCAGGTTGTCAAATGTGATAATTTGCTTCCTCTCTTGGTCTTAAATCTTAGTAAATATTATATTTTACAGGCTTCAGACTGTTAATCTAGGATTTAAAAAAAAAAAAGTTTTATAGAAAAACAATTTAATCTATAATGAAAATAACAATTAATTGTAATTCTAGTACAATTTGCTCAAAAGTAGCTATCTGTATCAAAGTAGATGCAATATTAAAATGGTTTAAAAATAAATATAAAAAATAATAAATTATATTAATAAAATATTTTTTTGTAAAATCAGAAGTCTAAATAATTTTCATATAAAAAAAAAATTTGATATAAGTGTTCAGAATATTACATAGTTTCGTTTTAGTTTATGATGAAGACCATCGGTTAAATTAGTAAATTTAGTAATCGATTCAATAATAATGTAGGTCTGTTCAAAAAAACGAGTCCAACCTTTCGGGGGGACCATAAAAAAAAAAAAAAAAAAAAAAATTCTCTTCGCTCTCCTATTGGCTGCCCCAAACCTACGACACCACAAACTCTCCCCTGATTGGTCAGATTTCAACTCGGTTTTCCGGGCGGAAAATGAACTCGCGCTGTGATTGGTCCATCCGTCTGTCTGGTTGTTGGACTCGTACGAACGGATACATCTCCGAGCCACCGTAGGGCGCCGTCCGGCATGTCTTGTTTACGGTGAGGTCGGAGCACCGTCCCGCGGTCCAGCTGAAGCGTTTCTGGTGAGTTTGTTTAACGTTATTTAACCGTAACAACCGTTTGCAGCTGACAACGAGAGAACAAGACGCCCGGTTGTCCAATAAAAGCGTTTGAACGTTTGGGAGCGGGGTATGACAGCTCCCGGCTGCGGCTATTCCCTGGTACAGAAACTATGTTACACACAGTGTGAACATCGGCGCTGGTGTAACTATAAGCTACAGACATATAGTTAAAACTCACTGTATATTTTTTTTTTTTACCACAACGGTAAGATAACGTTGGCCAATGTCAACGTACGTTAATATAGATGTAAAAGTTTGTGTATTAGACTGGGTCCATTCCAGCAATTAGACACCGCTCGTTTTTTTTTTTTTTTTTGATCGAACCGCCTGCTTTCATTTGATTGAAAACATTCACTGAAACGCGTTTGCATTTAAATTTGGGGGTATTTCTACTTTATATTATAATAACTTTAACCCTCAGCTTAGTTAGTAAGGTTTAACGGACTGCAGTGCAAATAAAGTGACGTTAATTGATGAGCAAAACGACGATTGGCAGAGACAGAGAGCCTCAATTAGAAACTCTGATGTTGTGATTTTTTAATTCCTCCAACCGAGTTATTGTTGTGATGTTAACTATAAATTCCCCTTCTTAATTTAACCTTTAACAATAACCTTCACCACACGTTGATTTTAATTTGGTTTCGTTTCATACTATGATAGAAAAAACCCCACATACTGGTTGAGAAACAGGGTGTAATTTTATATATATAACCTTTTATTGATCTCTGTGAAAGACATTCCTGTGTGTTAATCTAATATATGTCAAATTGAGCTCACAAATTACTTCTTATCTTAATGTTGGACCATCATCATCCAGTAGCTTAATGTTTATTTACATTTTGACTTACTCTTATCTTTATTTTTCCCGTTGCATGAGTAGAAACTATTAACTTAGTTGATTAATCGGTTAGTTGATCATTAAAGTAATTATTCAACCCAAAAATACCAAAAATTCCCGAATGATAGCTTTTCAACTGAGAGGATTTGATGCTTTTCTTTGTTTAATGTGCGACTGGGCAACAAGGATCACGATAAAATGTGAAATTAAAGTCTATATTGATCATTTTAATGACTATTATTAATAAATCCCAGGTGAAAAAATGCTGAATTAACACCTTTTATTTAAAAAGACACAGGTAATAATTTTAACGTTAATATTTTGTCCTATATTTGTTTAGTACAAACTCACAGCACGCTCCATGTCTGCATTTAATGAAACTATCAATACTCTATTGAACAATTGTCTTTTTGCTATTGATTTAGTGTCTATTGCCGATGTATATTGCTATTATTTATTGCCCAGGTTTAGTTTAATGTGGTTGTAAATGTAATATTGTTGGGTTTAACAGGATTTAAAGAAGTCACCTTGGACTTTGTGATGTCCATGTTTCACTAGTTGCATTTTATTGACATTTTTTATACACCAAGCAATTTGTCCGTTATTAAGATTTTAATCCGTGATGAAAGTCGTCAACAGTTGTTCAGTTTTTAAGAATAAAACATAAACAAAAACCCTTTTTTGCTTTTCCTAATTCCAGAGTAAACCCTCATCCAAGGGGTCAGAAAAGTAAGTGAAGCCTCATTTTAAGACCTATTCTGAATGTGTTTCTTGCTGATGTGACACCCCGCATGTTTGGGGCTGTTTTTCTTTTTCTTCCCGCTCTTGTTCTTCACAGAGAAGGAACAGACAGACAAGGGGAGAAAGAGAGAGAGAGAGAGAGAGCAAAGGGGATGTTGACTTACCCCTCTGACCCACTCCCTCAGATAGTTTGTCCAATGGATGAAGATGCTGTTCCCCCAAACCGTTTCTATAGTGCACCTCCCCACAGTGAACCTCCACCACCTCTCCTTTCCCTTTACTCCATCACTCCCAGGTATAGTTGTCCCGGCACCTTTTGCTTTCTTTTGCTGTAGGTGTGTTTTCCCCTCCTTGCTTTTTGACACTAGGGGTGTCACGATTCTCCAAATCCTCGATTCGATTTAATTTTCGATCTTTTTTTAAATATTACTATTAATCCATTCCTTTATATGTTATTTTTTTTTGTTTTTGTTTTTTTTTGGCCTTTTCCTGTTCTGTTTCGGGGGGCTTTTATTTTGAAACCGCGAGGTTGTAAACCGAACATTAAACAGACAAGTGAAACAATAGTGAAAATTGAAACAACACCATAAATGATGATTTGAATTGTTTCAGCACACCCCGAAGAACCCGATGTTTAAGTGTTGAAAAATGGAATTATTTTCTATCAACCTGTGCATTTTTAAGCCTTAAAGTCATTTTGGATCTTGTAACTAGATTCATACTTTTCAGTTGCCTTTAAGTTAGTGCGTTAACTGACGTGAAGAAAACGAACAGAATACTTCCCACCACTGGTGATTTCAGAGTAGCAAGAGGGGCTTCGATTTCGGTCGGTTGATGTGTATTTTTTACGCCGCAGTTCAGCACGTGTGTGTGTTTCTGCGTCTTGGCGTTCATGCTGGACGTGACATCGGGGGTGTGGCTGCATCGTCGATTCTACCTTTGAGTTCGAAGTTCGAGATTGAGATGTAATTTCGATCGATTTCGAAATCGTGACATCTCAATCATCGAACTTCGCAACTCAAGGTAGAATCGACCGATGCAGCCACAAGCCCGATGATCACCGTTCCAAGCATGAACGCCAAGACGCAGGAAAACACAACACCGTGCTGGAATACTGCACAGAGTAAAAAATACACATCAAAACCCGACCGAACAATCGAAGCCCTTCCTGGTTGCTCTGGAATCACCAGTGGTGGGAAGTATTCTGTTCGTTTTCTTCACGTCAGTTAACGCACTAACTTAAAGGCAACTGAAAAGTATGAATCTAGTTACAAGATCCAAAATGACTTTAAGGCTTAAAAATGCACAGGTTGATAGAAAATAATTCCATTTTTCAACACTTAAACATCGGGTTCTTCGGGGTGTGCTGAAACAATTCAAATCATCATTTATGGTGTTGTTTCAATTTTCACTATTGTTTCACTTGTCTACTGTTTAATGTATCGGGGTTTTACAAACCTCGCGGATTCAAAATAAAGCGCCCCCCGTAAAACAGAACACGGAAAAAAGGCCAAATACAAAAAAACAAGAAACAAAAAAAAAAAAATAACATATAAAAGATGGATTAATAGAATAAATGTTAAAATTAAAGATCGAAAAATTAAACTCGAAATATCGAGGATATTGGAGAATCGTGACACCCCTAAGTGTCAGAAAAAGCAAGGGAGGGGAAAATAAACACACCTCAGCAAAAGAAAGCAAAAAGCCGGGAACAACTATTTAACCTGGGGAAAGTGGATTGGAGAAAGAAAGGGAAAGGAGGTGGTGGAGGCTTCACTTGTGGGGAGGGTGCACGTATAGAAAAACGGTTTGGGGCAACAAGCTCACCAATTGTTACAACTAATCTGGAGGGAGTGGGTCAGAGGGTACAGGTTCAACATTCCCCTTTGCTCTCTTCTCTCTCTCTCTTTCTCCCCTTGTCTTTGTCTGTTTACCTTCTCTGTTTGAAAGAAACAACGATGCGGGAAGAAAAAGGAAAAACGCCCCTAAACATGCGGGGTGTCCACATCATGCAAGAAAACACATTTCAAGAAAATTAGGGTTCTTAAAAAATTGAGGCTTCACTTACTTTTCTGGACCCCTTGGACTGAGGGTTTACTCTGGAATTAGGAAAAAGCAAAAAAAGGGTTTTGTTTTATGTTTTTATTTACATTAAAACTGAATACAACTGTTGACGACTTTCATCACGGATTAAAATCTTAATAAACGGACAAATTTGCTTTCGGGTATAAAAAATGTCAATAAAATGCAAAGGTGGAAACATGGGACATCAACAAAGTCCAAAGGAACTTCTTTAAAAATCCCTTGTTAAAACCCAAACAATATATACAACCACATATAACTAAACCTGGGCAATAAATAATAGGCAATATACATCGGCAATAGACACTAATCAATGCAAAAAAAAAAGCAATTATTCAATAGAGTATTGAATAGGTTTCCATAAATGCAGGACCATGGAAAAGCGTGCTGTTGAGTTTGTTACTAAAACCAAATAATTAGGACAAATATTAAACGGTTAAAAAATTTTTACCTGTGTCTTTTTAAATCAACAAAGAGTGTTTCAGTTCAGCATTTTTTTCACCTGGAATTTATTAATAAATAGTCATTCAAAATGCTTCAATATAGACTTTAATTTCACCATGGTTATCGTTGATCCTTGTTGCCCAAGTACGCACATTTAAACGCAAAGAAAAGCATCAAATTCCTCTCAGTTTTGAAAAAAGCTATACATTCGGGAATTTTTGGTATTATTTTTGGGTTGAATAAATTAACTTTAATGATCAAAAAACTAACCGATTAATCAACTAAGTTAATAGTTACTACTCATGCAACGGGAAAAAAATTAAAAGATAAAGAGTAAGTACCAAAAAATGTAATCAAAAAAACCATTAAAGCTACCTAGGATTGATTGATTGGTCCAAACATTAAGATAAAGAAAGGTAATTTTGTTGAGCTCAATTTGACAATTCACTTAAGATTATAACACAACAGAATGTCTTTCCACAGAGATACAATAAAAGGAATATATATATAAAATTTACACCCTGTTTTCTCAAACCAAGTTATGTGGGGGTTATTTTCATATCATAGTATGAATAACGAAACCAAATTAAAAAGCACGTGTTGTGACAAGGGTTATTGTACAAAAGGTTAAATTAAGAAGGGAATTTTGATAGTCTAAACATCACAACAATAAACGGGTTCAGGAGGAATTAAAAAAAAGATCACACATCAGATTTCTAATGAGCTCTCTGGTCCTCTGCCAATCGGTCTTTTGCTCATCAATAAACGTCACTTTATTTTGCACTGCAGGCCGTTAAACCTTACCTAACTAAGAGCTGAGGGTTAAAGGGTATATATAAAATTATAAAGTTAGAAAATACCCCCAAAATTTAAAGCAAAAAACACGTTTCATGTGATGTTTTCAATAAAGAAATGAAAAGCAGGCGGTTCGATCAAAAAAAAAAAAAAAAAAAAAACGAGCGGTGTACTAATTGCTGGAATAGGACCTCCAAAATACACACAACCTCTTACATTATTTTTTCTATATTAACGTACGTTGACATCTGAGCAACGTTATCTTACCGTATTGTGGTAAAAAAAAAAAAAAATATACAGTGGAGTATTTAAAAACTTAATATGTTTCTGTGCTTACTAGTTAGCACGGGCGCCGATGTTCACACTGTGTGTAACATAGTTTCTGTACCCAGGGAATAAGCCGCAGCCGGGAGCTGTCACTTTACCCCGCTCCCAAACGTTCCAAACGCTTTTATTGGACAAAAAACCGGCGTCTTGATCTACTCGTTGTTCAGCTGCAAACCGGGTTGTTACGGTTACTAATAACGTAAACAACTCCACCAAGAACAACGCTTCAAGCTGGACCGCGGGACGGTGCTCCTTACCTCACCGTAAACAAAACATCCGGACCGGCGGCCCCTACGGTGGCCTCGGAGGAATTTATCCGTTCGTTTTACGGAGTCCAACAAACCCAGGGACACAGACCGGATGGGCACCTGGCATCACAGCGGCGAGTTTCCATTTTCCGCCCGGAAAACCGAGTTTGGAAATCTGACCCAATTTTCAGGGGAGAGTTTGTATGGTGTCGTTTAGGTTTTGGGGCAGCCAATAGAGAGAGCGGAAAGAGATTTTTTTTTTTTTTTTTTTTTTTATGGTCCCCCCGAAAGGTTGGACTCGTTTTTTTGAACAGACCTACATTATTATTGAATCGATTACTAAATTTACTAATTTAACCGATGGTCTTCATCATAAACTAAAACGAAACTATGTAATATTCTGAACACTTATATCAAATTTTTTTTTTATATGAAAATTATTTAGACTTCTGATTTTACAAAAAAATATTTTATTAATATAATTTATTATTTTTTATATTTATTTTTATATTAAACCATTTTAATATTGCATCTTACTTTTCGATACAGATAGCTACTTTTGAGCAATTTGTACTAGATACAAAATTA